AACAGAGGAGCAGGGCCTTTTGTGCCGCCAGCTCAACCCAAGCTCTCGGATCAACTGCCAGTGTAAGCATCACCCCTCTGCCAACTGCTGAACTCTCCCAGCCCGGGGAGCCCAAATGGGAGACGTTCCAAGTCGCCAAACCCCCGTGAGCTAAGCAAGGCACGCTGCTGCTGCCCGCCTGTCAGGCGACTTTGATGTAACTGGACTTTCTGTTCTCTATAAATATTTCAGAAACTTAAATCAAGTCCCAGTCTCAGGATGTGGGCTTTTTTCCCTCCTTTTTCCTCTGCACAAGCACTCTGAGGCTCACTGTGCTCTGAAACACACAGCTGACAGCTGAAAAAAACAGACAGCTGAAGTGTCCAAAGGCAGATTTCAGAATGCAAGGACGCCGTTTCCTGCCATGCCGCACACTGGTCCAGCATCGTGCAGGCAGGACGCAGAGCAGGACTGCCAGTTCAGCAGATGTCATCTGTGCTCCCTTAAGAAATGGTGCTGTCTGTGAAGGGACAGAGGTAAAAACCTGTACGTCAGGAACTAAACTGCTATTAGATCTCCAAACCGTTTGCACACATCAATACTTCAGCAGGATGGCAAAAAGAAAGAGGGAAAAGGAAACTGATCTCCAAACTTCTGAAGTCCTTTGCCTCTCCTGGGAGATGCGACCCTAGGATCCTAGCTGTAAGGAAATCTTTAGGGTTATGTCTGCTATTGCAATTCCATGTTATGCAAGAATATTCTACTAGGTATCTCTTACACAGGAACTGAATCCTGAACTTCCTTCAGCAATATTCACGCTCCTCTCTCATTCAACTTTATCTTTCTAACTGCAAAACTTTTTCCCTTTGTCTTTTCTTTGTTTCTAATGCTACTCTTTATTCTTAAAGCCCTTCTGTGTTTGCTTCGTGGCCCTGCAAAAGGCATGTTGAGCATGTCAGGGAGGAGGCTGGGAGCTGTGATGCTGTGGAACTGCTGTGTTGGAGCTGCAGCTTAAGGCTGCGGTGAAACACCTCAATGAAGAGCAAACTGTTCATGTGGGAAATTGCAGTGTAATGATTTCCTGTGTCTGTGTATCAAGTGAAGCTGTTTGGCCAGTCCACGTTCAGCACCGTTGAGGCAAAATAGAAAGAACAGTCTGTTTTCACTTACTGTCTAGAGCCGTGCGCGTGCTTTGCTAACCTTAATGCTAATGGCTGCTTAATGCTCCGCGTGGAATGTGCAGAGGAAGCTTTCACTGTGGTGGGTCACTGACAGATGTTTACATGGCAAAAGCCTCCGTTTAAAACTGCTTCCCTGCTTTGAACCATCTCCCAGGAGAGGCAAAGGGCTTCAGAAGTTTGGAGATCAGTTTCCTTTTTCTTCTTTCTCTTTGTCATCCTGTCAAAATATTGATGCGTGCAAACAGTTTGGGGATCTGAAAGTAGCAGTGTAGCTCCTGACATGCAGATTTTAAAGCAGGGTTTGCTGAATAAAAAATACTTCTTGCCTCTGTTCTGGAGGGATCCATTTCTGCATCACTGAGCACCTGGAAATGATAGAAGGATGACTACAGAAAACAGAACCCATGAGGAAAACAATCACTCAACAGAAAACAAAAGCCCTAGTTAATCCAAAATAATCTCCATCATCAGCACTAATTGAAGAAGAAAAAGCACTTGAAATAGGAACGCTATCTGTTGGCTGGTGGTCCTCAGCTCCTTCTATTATCTCTACTTCGCAATTCCAGATTCTCAAGATCTAGACATCAGAATTATAAACACTGCTGGTATTCCAAGTGCTATCAGCACATCACAGAAAGTGTGGCCAAGCCACATGCTCCAGTACTCACATGTTTGGTAGCCGCATCATCAGCGCACGATGCTTTTAGATTCTGGTAAATTAAGACTTTTAGCCCATGCACATCTATATAAAGGCCTTAGGTCTGAACAAACTTTGTCCCCTGACGTCACTTCTGTGTCTTTCTGTCCATAAAGCAGGACAGAATTCAAAACCTGCTAATGACATCTGTGATTTCAAAGTCAAAGCCAGCTGTCAGGATTTCAAGCACAGTCTCTTTATCCTTACGCAGCTCCAGAGAACAGCAGTGCTGCAGAATACAACTGGATGTCAACTGCTTTTTGGTGTCACCTAACTATTGCTTTACTTCTGGGAGCTTACATCATAGATCTAACAGATGGAACGTCTGGTTTTGGCTTTATTATCTTCTCTTCTAGGGTGCACTATGACTGATGGACAGAATGAGGCCAACTGCTTATTAGGGACTACTTGTTCTGGTCCCTAAACTAGAAAACCAGTAAATGAATTTGAGAGCACAAAATCTATGCAAATCTAGAGATTTTACTCTAAAATTAAAGCAATTAACGAAGGCTCATTGACAGACAAGAATCCCTTTGGATTACTGAAGCTGGTGTAAAGTATGTTTATCTATACAATATCAAATGCATTCAGCACATGTAACCTTGAAGCTCCTCAGTCCCATGCAGTACCATTAACAGCAAATATTATAACAAGCCATGTAACCATAATGCAAACATTTCCTCAGTACTTGTAGCAGAAATGCTGACTCACAGCCTGAAGCAGGGATGGAGCACCTGGTGGGAAGGCAGGGCCAACCCAGGGGAGCTCAGGTGCAGGCAATGGATGTGAGTGATTGGAAGGGGTGGAGCCAGGATCAGCCCTTCCCAGCCCTCATTTAAGGCAGGGGAGGTGAGGGGATCTCTCTGGAGATCTGCCTGCTGGAGGCCCTCTAAAGGTAAGCAGTTTTGCTTTGTTTCTGTGTCTGTGGCTGCTGCATTTGGGCTTGTTTTCCTTTGCTGCAGCCTAGGGTTGTGCTACCTACCTATGATTGCTGTACTTTCCATTACATTACAATACTGATCTACGTGTTATTTGGCTGAAGCTTTTGGTAAGAAGCAAAGTTCTGAGAAAAACAAAGCAGCAAGGATATAACTCTATTTTTACAGCTCTCTTAAGGTGTTCTTAGGTGTACCTGAATTTAGTTGCTGAAGTTACACGTAAGCACACTGATGTTCTGTGGTTTTGTTTAGCAGCACACTTAGCTTCACTTCATCAGATAATCAACAGAGACACTCCAGGATGATTCAGTAAAACTGTGGTTCTCAAATTTCCTGTTCTATGCAAACATCATTTCAGAGAAATGCTTAAGACCGGTGGTTCTTACCTGTAGCTTGTGGTGGATTTAAAGGAATATCAGAATGAAAAGGCTGAGCAGCTCAAACTGTGCACCATGTACCTCATTTGCTTCTCTTGTCAAATATTAGTTGCTTTAACAACATTAAGAAGCCCATTCTTTCCTTGAGTAGGAGGGTTGGAGTAACATCTAGAAAGCTGCTGACCCTATCTACCTTTCAGACATAGAATACGATCTGATGAAAGCTTGAGCCTGAGGGGAAAAAAGAGTTTCAATTTGCTTGTAAATCTGTATTTTTTTTGGTTACAAAAAAAAAAAAAAAAAGCAATGAGCTGAAAGCTGTTCACTGCATCACACAGCAAGGCCTTCAACAGTTTGATTCCTCATTTAAAAAAATGGTTCTGCTCCATCATACACCAGAATGCAATTAGCAGAATGTTCACTGTAACTGAAATGAAGCTGTTCAGTGTATTTATTTAATTACAGAGCAGTCACAGCTCATGCCAATTCAACCACCAAGATAGCAGCACATGCTTTTCTGTTCCTCCCACAGAATCTTCAATTAAGCATAACTCCATGTAATACTTTGGAAAGTCCAAAGCCCCCAGGATTCCAGAGAGAACAGATACTCAGCTCTTCTGCTCGTTTTTAAATGGATAAAATATTAAGATTCCTTTGTAAGGATGTGGCATAGCAAAATACTTCAAAAATAGTCTGTAAAAGAAGTAATCTATAGAACACGACAGAAGAGCTGTTACCCTTATTGGCATTGTACTCCTACAGTGAGGGGATGCTTGTTCTGTGTCAGGTATTTGTGCAAAATAAGTATTCCTCTGTTAGCTGCTACTCTGAACTGCTTTTTAGCCCTGTGTTAAGGTCTGTCTGCTCCAGCATAACTGTGGGAACAGAATAAATACGAAAGAAATTGAACTGGCAATATAAAAAGATAATTCAGGAAACAGAATGGTAAGAAACGTAACAGCACGAGGTAATTCCTCCTCCTACACATCAAGCCCACAGAACTGAAACAATTTCTAGATTACACAAAGATCGCCCTCAAAGAGATGATGCTGAAGTGATAACATGAATTCAAATATTATCTGACAAAAAAGTATATAAACATGACAAAAACAAGATGGTACGTATTTGTACGATTTAACATTTCTACAGCAAAGTGGAACAGGATGAATTTTTACACATCCTGTATGCAGAACGTGAAGAGCTTTGAGTCACTGCTGTAAAACCCTTACATAACACAGCAAAGTAAAAGTAAACTGCATTTAAAAGAAATGTTTATGTACAGGCAGATTACAAGGTTTAGTAAGGACTGGTTTGATTCTGTACACACAGAAATCAATCAGCTACAAGAGTGTCCTCTAGCTCAAAGCTGCCTGGGGTACCAAACTTCTTTATACCACGTGCAATGCCTTGCAAAGAGACAGTAATTAAACCAACACAGCAAGAGAAAAGTGTTGCTTTCAGCCACAGCCGAGTGACTCCTCAGAACTTCAGCAGGAGCGTGAGCCCAAATCGCAGCGTACAAACAAGGGAAGCAGGCCTTTTTCACAAGGGCATGCTGAAATACCATTTACAAACTGATAAAGCACACTTAGCCCTGAAGGCAGCTTAGACAGCTTTATCAAAAACAACAGGCTTCTAGGAACTTCAGATTCTAATGCTTCTGGATTTAGTATATTGAGGTTTTTGCAAATGAAAGATGCAAATGACTTCCATTGCAGTTAATTCCTTATGCCTAATAAATAAGAAGCATCAAGAATCTTCACGGCATTGAGATGTGTAGACTGAAACCATTTAATAGTTCTATTAAATTTAAAAAAAAAAAAAAAAAAAAAAAAAAAAAAAAAAAAAGAAAAAGATAAAAAAGGAAAAGTCTTCTGCTCCTGCAAATATCAGAGTTCAGAAAGGAATGGCCCTAGTGGTGTGTTCATGTGCCAAACTGACCACTGGGAAGAGCAGCCATCACTGCATACCAAACCACTGCTCCTGATCTGCCCACTGGGCTGCCTCGCTGTCACTGCCTTCCAAGTCCCCCTCTTCTCCACTTCCCTCCATATCATCCACGTCTTCTTCCTGGGTTGCATCTGTTGGACTTTCCTCTTTTTCCATTTTCTGCATTCCTTCTAGTGATTTCTGATCATTTGGATCCAAGCTGAGGGAAAGAGAAGAGAAGCGAGTATTGCCTTAAGACTTATTTTTCTTATATTTGTAACATTACCATAAAAACCTATCACTTTTTTCTGCACTTCCTGTTTAGCACCACCAAGAATTTCAGCCTGGTAGGCACAACTTCACCTGATGATAACACCAGTATTACACTCTCACATAAAAGCATTTTGAGCCTCAAGAATGCACTTTTCTAAACACCACACTCTCAAAGAAAAGTTGGTCAGCTCCTCCAGACCACATCAATCATAAAGCAATGAGAAAGTAATGATGTCAATGGCTATGATTAAACACATCACATACAAGGAAAAAATAGCTGACTTGTCTATGTTATGTGTGTTTGCTGCGGATATGAAGTGCTAGACTTAAGGGAAATTTAACTTTCTGAAATAAAAAAATAGTAACACAACTTCAGGAGGTAACGTTAAGGTTCTTTATTACCTGTTTAAACTTACACAGTAGCTCCTGTTTATACATCATCTTCTGCTCTAGTGCAACAGCTCCCAAGAAGCCTGCCTATATAATTACTAATTATAAATACATCCGTGCCTCAGTCGCTTCAGCAGCCAAGGAACTCCATGCCCAGCGATGTCTGCAATGAACACAATCCCTAAACTCTGCACTCCTCAGCACAAAGCCCTGTGCAAGTAATTCATTATCAGAACGCGATGCATACGTTTGTCTGCTTTGAGGAAGCGTGATGTGCAGCTACCTGCTGCATGCCCTAATCAACCAGTGGCCTGGCACTCAACTTTTTGCTTGTCAGTTATTCATTCCTATACACTACAGCTTGGCTCTCTGGCCTACCTTAGGGCGATGCTGTACTGGTCCATTGCTTCCTGGTACTCGTTGACAGCTACAAGGAAGTCCCCCAGTATTCGATGCAGAACGCAGTCACTCTGATTAGCCAACGCATTCCTCAGCAAAGCAATTCCATCTTCATACTTTTGCTCTCTACCTGTTAATTTGCAAAACCAGTTTCAATTAATAGTTTAGGTAAAGCAGTAAGCAGACTGTACGCCAAGGGCATCACAACACAAAAGCATTTCTTCCCTCAGAGCTGCTGGCAGGAAGGATGGCAGTAATACGCTTTTTGTAAGCAACGACTGCTACACAAATTAACACCTATACTTTGAAGGCAAAACATTTTGTATGCAATGGTCGAAAGTGCTGCCATAATGTCAGTTGCTAGGCACAATTAATTCCTGTGCTTCTTCCTTCCAAACAGAACTGACAAATCCCTGTGGTACAACATCCCTGTCGTGTTATTTGCACTGATGAGGCTGCAGAACACTCCTGTATATGACAGAGCATGTTATAAGAAAGTCGACGTGAAAAAAAGGAACTTACTTAGAAGTTCGGCTTTCTTTACCACAGCTTTGATGTAATCAGGTCTTTGTGTCAGTGCTTTGTCCAGTAATGTTTTTGCTTTCTCCTGTGTGACTGGGTCTTCAAGGCAGACTGTTGCTAACAGAGTGAGTGTCTGTGCATTTGCTCCCAGAGTTTTATACACGTTATTTGCCATAACCATAGCTTCCCGGATACTGTTAGATGCTAGGTAACATTCAATGAGACCTGATAATAAAGAACAGCATTTCAGTTTCATTTGGTACTGCAGTCAATCACCCCTCCTCAATTATTAGCACTGGCATTATCACCATGCAAAAACAGTGGATCAAGAGGACTGCAGTGTAGTTCTCCATTGGCAAACTACATACCATAGTGAACATCCAGATGTAACTGTTGCCAACAGTTGAAATATTCTACAAGCAATTCTTAAGACTGCCAATGAACAGTACATTGGGACCACTATCATCCATTTTTATTTAATTCTGTATATCTCCTGAGGTGTTTTATTTTGCTATGAGAATTTAATACAACTTTTAATTCTATAAGAAAATGCATATTCCCCCAAACACACGAGCATTTCTCCTTAACTGCTTACCATCTAAACTTGTTCCTACTTAGGAGACAGTGTGACAAAATGAGGCTCCTGGTACGACTAACCAGACACTGAATGTCATCATCTGCTCAAAGCACCCAAGCCTGTTTACATCCAGATTAAACCACTTAAAAGCAAACAACTTTTCTGAAAATAATTCTTATAAATACATGCATTCTCTAGTATCTCTTGTCTGACTACTTCAAACAGCACTTTGCGGGTTTTTGGGTAATAACAACTTATGTGTTAGAAAGTCAACAGGGGAAAAGAGCTCGCCTGTTCTCTTTCTTAATAATAAGAGCCATGAGTGCTGCACCAATGCAGTCTGAGCAGCTTTGTTTCACTCACCCTCATAGCAATCCAACCTGCAAGGCGCAAGCCGTATCGCTTCACGGAAGTGTATGATTGCTTCCTGCACTCGGCCCATGTTCCTGAGGGCAGCTCCCTTCAGCAACAGAGCCTGAACGCTGTTGCTATTAAGCTGGATAGCTTTGGCTCCTAAATATAAGGCACGGGAGTATCGTTTACTATAAAAACTATGACACCTATGGAAAGACAAGATGGATTGTAAACATGTACTGCCTGTGTACATTCACAGAGACTCAGAAGAGAGAGGGAAGAATCAGGTTACAAGAAACTGCTGAATCTTCTGTATTTTACGTTAGAAATAAATGTTTGTGTGAAAACGAAGAAACCCATTAACCATCACAGCTATTTAACACATCAAGGTTTAGTAATTCAAACCAGTTTAGGCTTAAAGAAAACAACCAAAATAGGTACTCATGAGTAGTTACCTCCAAACAACAAGCTGATTTCACTCTATCAGCTGTAATCAACCTCACTCAAATCAAGGGTAAGAAAGGAAAGAGAGCATCTTACCCTGACACCACCCAGGGTTCTGCATGTTGATCTGAAATATTGAAGAGACGGCAGCCCAAGTTTTCCACATCCTCCAGTCGACCTTCCCGTGCCAACAAATAGCCGTACACATCCATTCCTGCAGTGAAAACATGGAAGGTCAATCATTAAGAAACAGAAAGCTCTTTCACTACAATAAATTCAAACTTCCTAACTAAACTATTCCTAATATATACAAACTCCATAAGTGGATGTGTCACCTTCTAGCTATCTGCCATTTTAAACAACTTGCAATGCAACCACTTAGTTTAAACTGCATAACTACCAGCAACTGGTAAGTGTGCAGTTTCTGAATGTAAACTCTGCATCGAAAGACAGATACAACTATACTCAATAGTGCACTCAATATTTGTTTGCTACTCTAACTTAATTTACCAGGTCATTATTCTAGGTAAATGTTCCTTTACAACTTACCTTTTATTAGGTAAGGATCCAGCATTTGAGCTTGTTCAAATTTTAGAATAGAGTTTTTATTATCTCCAGCTCTGAAATACAGGTCTGCTAAGCTCCCCAGTAGGTCTACATTATCCCTCAGCAACGACTTTTTCTCTAAAGAGCTTTAAGAGAAATAAATTGCTATTATTTATGTGTAATGATATTAAAATAACATTAAAGAAATATTTTATGGCATTTCATTACATCATGCTCTTTCAATTCTTACCAAATTGTATTGATTGCTCTAGTGTTATCTCCAGTGTGCACAAAAGCATATGCCTTGATCCACACTGAAAGCCAGTCCAAGTTTGGAATGCTCTGAATGATATTTATTGTCATGGAGGCCACTTCTGCACCTTTTACCGACAGCGAGAGCAAACCTGTTCAGAGAGGTATTCAAAATGATAAAAAAAACATTTTCAATCATCATTACTACAAATTATCTGAAGAGTAGGAAACACAACCAAGCAATCTGCCGTGAATTTACCTTTTACATCAAACACATTTGCATTAAGTATTACGTAGAATGGCAGTCAATTACCCAGTCCCAAACATGCTTCAAATTATAATGCTTCTTAGGACTGACGTATCTAACAGTGTGGAGAAACCTACCTAGTATGGCATCAAGTGCTAATGGGCACTGCCTCAGTACTTCCTTGTAGCTCGTAACAGATGAACGTTCCTGACCTGCTTTCTTGTATAGATTTGCCAGCATCATATTGATCTGCAAGAATTAGAAAGGAGTTCCCGTTAAGATAAGGTGACAACTTTGTCCTCCCTCCAGCATGCTGTCTCCCTCCCTTCCGTTCTGAGTAGCTCTTTTGAGATCACTGTAACCTACTACCATGGATTATAGAATTAATATTGACTCTTGAGTCCAAATATAAAACTTACATTTTTTCATTTACATAGTGCATGTGGAAATCTCAGCACTGTGACATCCAAAAATGGGCGAGTGTCTTAAGCATGACAAGAAGAACCTGTACATTCGCTGCATTAACTTTCTGTCAGCTCAGTTCTTTATATCAATGGAAGCTCTCAAGAGAAGGAAGGCACGGGATGTTTCTGTTTAGCTTCTGAACAGTAACAATTGATAAAAGAACAGGAATGATTCAAGCTCTGTGCAGTCCAACTAGTTGGGTCCCGCTACAAGATTTTATTATCCTAGTGTGTATAGATTAGAAGTTTGCTTTCCTCAACCTTTTTTTCTACCTTCTGAGCAAGTGCCAGTGACAAACCTCTGCCAGAACAAACCTTTGGGGTCCTCTGTCTGGAAGGAATCCCATCCAGAATGGCAATGGCATCTTTATCTTGCTTCAGCATCGTGTAACATTCAGCCATTTTATATTTTACTTCAATTTCAGATGGTAAACACTGAAATAAAACGTAATATTAAAGGATAACTGTAGTGGAAATGTTATGTCACAGACTGAAACAGTGACTGAAGAACTGGTGGGAAGGCAGGGCCAACTCAGGGGAGCTCAGGTGCAGGCAATGGATGTGATTGGAATGGGCGGAGCCAGAACCCAGCCCTTCCCAGCCTCATTTAAGGCTTGGCAGTGGAAATGAGTGGATCTCTCTGGAGATCCTGCCTACTGGAGGTCCTCTAAAGGTAAGCAGATTTTCTTTTGTTGTTTCTGTATCCAGAGTTGCTGCATGAGAGCTTGTTTTCATTTGCTGCAGCCTAGGATTGGGTCACCCTGCTATTATTACAGTACTTTCCATCACATTAAATGTTTAGTGTAAGTTAAAACGTCTAGTGCAAGAAAGGTAAAAATGCAACCTACTGCTGGCTTATGTTGCTCATCTCTTCCAAAACCATGAATTACACATCTTAGGAAATAAAGGCAGCCCACAGTCTAATGCTACAATATTGAATCTTCAACATTAACCAAAGCAGAGGGGGATACACAATGCAGCACACTGCTCAGTTTTTAAATACCTGGCTCTGGGGAGCTGATGCAGCATTCCCAGTAGAAGGCCTTACTTTTGAGGTTTTACTCAATGCTTTCTTCTGCTGCAAAGCCATCGTATACTTGCTGACAGCATTTCTATATTCTTTATCGTGGAAAAGAGAGTCTGCGTGGTATACAAGGAGTTGGTACTTCTGAGATGGTGAAAACAGCTCCCTAGAAAAGATGCAGACAGGCTGAGATCAGCTAACAGCCTAAGAACCACGGACAGACCCGAAGTTACTCATCCAGCTTCAACTTTGAGCTGTTGCTGCCGCTTTGCTATGCAGGTAACAGCACAGCTCCTTACAGAGCTGCATCTTGCTGTGTTGAAATGTGAGGATTTCGGAATGGGACCGTGGTTCTAACCAGTACCTCACAAAAGTACCCGAAACGATGCAGGAAAGGCCTGAAAAACGACGGGAACAGCAAGAATGAGGGGAAGAGTGGTGATGTACACAGGGCACCCGTGGTAAGAAAGGAGGAAATCGCTGCATCTCCACTGGGGAAGCCCATGAAAGAGCCGCGGACCCCTGTTGCCGCCCAACCGCGGGCAGAGGCGGGCTGACAGAATACAGCTTCATCCCCTCAGGGCCCTGAGCAACGGGAGCGCAGGGGCCTTTTCCTTCCCGGTCCCGTCAGCGCGGCGGGAGGGCCACTCACGGGTTGTTGCCGCTCATCGTTAGGAGAAGCCCGCTGAGGAGCCGCACGTTCGAGTGGAGCCCGGCGGAGGCCATCTCCCGTACGTGCTCCACCACGCTCATGCCGGCGGCGGAGGAAGAACAGGACAGAAGGAAGAACGCGGCGCACAACAGGACGCCCGCCGCCACTCCAAAATGGCGCCAAGGCGGGGGCCTTGCGCCGCTGCCTCCATGCGCCTGCGCAGTGCTTGAACACCGCCCCCATGGCGGGACAGGCGCGAAGCGGGCAGCCCCAGCCGCTCCGCGAGGCCCCCGATGGTTCCGCGCACGCGCAGCGGCGCTTTTTCTCAGCGGCGCTGTGAGGTGTCGGTGTGCGGCCGCAGGGGGGCGGCGCTGCTGGCTGCGTCCGTTCCTGGCTCAGCACCGTGTATGTGCTTTTTATTTGAAGATTTAGGCATTGTGTCTGCACTGCTCTTGAGCCTGGACGCTTTTCTGCACAGATGTCACTGTCTGATGGCTGCAGCAGTGATGTGAGGTGGCAAAGCTCGTGCCTGTAAGACAGCTGAGGAGGAAGACCTGTAAACCTAGGCTGCTGCAGGGCCACAATCGCGGAAAGTACCTCACTGGCGCTGCTGTAAACTAGGAAGCACGCAGTACCTCTGTAGGAGAGTTAATCCTGTGCAGCGATAAAACAGTCGTGTCAGGATTTTTCCTTTCAGCGGAGTACCACCAGAAAGCATGTTAGTGCTGTGTGGTGATGGTGAAAGTACTGCCATGAAGGAGACAAAATGAGCTCGGACCAGCAGGTCCTCAAAACACACACAGTATTTGCCAATATCATACCATGATGGCCTCGCCATTAAAATTTCATTTTTATTTCTTTGAAAGCTAACCATAAGACATAAAGCGCTGATCACATTAACTGCAAGCTAAGTTTATTGGAGGAAAAAAAAAAAGTAAAAAATCACTGCACTCAACATGATACTGAGACTCTAGCCAGCAGAGCAATTACACACCACCCCAGGCACAAACACTTCTCTTTAAACAAAAGCCCTGCTGTAAATGCTAGCTGTAGCCACTGATAATAAAGCAGCCTGCACCTGAAACAGCATGTTAGGAATCATTTATTAAGCACCAGCTTAATAATACTCGCTTACAGTACTCAAATGATCTTTTTACTTTACATCCCTCTTCCCTCGTTGACTTTTTTCTTCATAAACACTTTTTTTTTTTTTCCTTGGTACAAAATGTATCCAAAACAAAGTCAAAATATTTCATACACCTTGCTGTTGAAATACTTCATGTTGCTGCTCTGCCTGCTCACTGCCCAGGTCCAGACAGGCTCTTGTTCATGAACTGTCTCTTCACAAAGCAGATCCACCACTGCAGGAGAAAACATAATCAGAAAACAGGCAAAAGAAGTTTCCATCTTATAAATGAAATAGAGACTTAAAAGTATATTTATTACCTATTCCAGTGTATTTATTGCAGTATAATAATGAACATATCTAGTCATAGGGACTGCATCAGAAAGCTATGTCTTTGAAACTAAAGTAGCCTGAATAATCTCATTATTAAATGCAAACATTTGCACATGAAATACGTGATCAGGATGTAGTTCATGCACTGATTGGCTACTTTTTAAAATCCAGATAAAAGGCAAAATGGTCTACTTCAAAGAAGCAATGAGATCAGAACTGCCTGGAAATATAAACAACATCTCTCATGCCTTTTCATTTCTATTTGAAAAGAGTCCCTAGCCAATTGCAAAATTGCAGTACTTTGAAGAGTTAAACTAGAACTGCCTATTACTGCCCCACTTTTTAAAGTACCTGGAATTGGAATTTGTCATCTTACCATGTTACAGCTGGAAATTTATTGACAACTGTCAGTCCTCTGTTTTGCTAGCCTGGTAAAACCAGGGAAGCCTGCTCCAGAGTTACCTATGTCTGATCCCTCACCCTCTTCTCTTCTCTCCATCTTTTGGAAAAAACAACCAAGCCTCTCATTAAATCTGTAATGATCAGGCCAAATCCTTACCTTACTAGGCTTGTCACTCTGAGGATCAAATACTTTTTCACAGAGTCGAAGACCAGTTTCTTGCCTGAGCTGCTGCAAGTATGCTCTCATCACCTCTGAAATGCAGCAGGACAAAATAGCATTAAGTCAAACTAAATTGAGCATGGAAGCAGTAGACAAACCCTACTTAAAGCAGAAAATGTGAGCTTTCTCATCTGTAGGCCCTTGCTGGCTGCCTGTTCAATTTACAGCCATACTTGGAATTTTTATGATATTTGTATCAGTGAAATGGATCATCCAAACTATTTTCTTCTTTCAGTTAAACCTCTGCCCATCACTTTGGGCTTCCTCTTTGCCAGTGTGGGAGTTGGTTCAGGCTCTGTTATAGAATCTATCTAGCAATTACACTGATGCAAAAGGCAGACTCAGACTCCTATCACTGTTCTGTTGGATCTACAGATTAAGGGGAGTCATCAGGCCCCTAAGGCCAGAAAACCTCAGAAAACAGAGCCAGAAGTTTTCAGGGTCAATTTTCTAGTCATAGTAAAAAAAAATGCAGCTAGTAAAGCATGGACTAAAAGAAGCCTTCAGAGTTCTTTATTTAGTTTTACCTTCCTCTTGCTTGTTGGTAGGTTTGGCATAAATGGCGTTAAGTGGAAAACCAGGCTCCCCAGGGATTGGGAAATTAGTGATTCCCAGTGTGTACATCTCTTTTTCTCCTTGGCCTTTGGAGTTGCACTGAAAGAACCAACCAAACAATTAAAAGTTACAAATGAAAACATTGGAGTAAAATATTTTAATGCTCACTAAAACATAAAGGCTGATCAAGAACAGCAATACAACATCTCCATGCAGATCCACACGTATTTGTGGTTCTGTCAACTGGGACTGCAGTGAACAGAGTTTGTTGTGCCTTTAGAGAATATCAGCAAATGCTCTCCTGAGTACAATCCTCAGAACAGGCTGGTTCCCTCCTTACCTTCTGCAGCTTTTTCAAGCACTCAGAAATGTAGAGAGTTATGTAGATCAGCGTTCTGTCAGCCTCATTCTGCAAAATAAGGGTAAGCACAGAGCCTAGTCTGTTAGACTATAGGGGGCTTCATGGAACTGGTAAGAGTTTGAAATAGGAATGAGTTCATGCAATTTGTGCTAACAATATCCTCATAAGAGGGGAACTATTGCAAAAAAAAAAAAAAAAAATTACCTTAATTTCATAATTTTTGAAGAAAACATTAGCTTTGAAGTAGTAGATGGCTTCATCTATAATATCTGTATCTTTAGCTAAAAAAAAACAAAACAAAACAAAATTAAGCAGTGCGTTGCTACATCACATTTGGTCATAACTTTTACACACTGAACTACACAAACAATAATTCTTGCAAAAGCAAAATTGTTTACAAAAAGCAGAGGACTACACTAAATCTTACCCATATGAAAGACTGGTGGTGAACTCTGGCCAAAATATTTAAGTTTCTTACTCTTAGTAGTTTTAACCCCCTTTTTCTTCTCTCACTATGACTTCACACAGGGCAGCAGGTTGGCAGTTCCCCAGTTTCCTACCAGTTGAGTGACTCACCAGAGTTTTAACAGTATAGAATATGCTGTTAAAACTCTTTCTGAGGACCCAAAAATATATTTGGAAGAAGTTTACACCACTATCAAACAACCTTCCTTGTTATTCTTTTAAAAAAAAAAAAAAAAAAAAAAAGAGGAAGGGTAGATTACATAGTGACAAGTTGACTCGCAGCTTTCGCTTTCTTTCACAAATAGTGAAGACTGCTTGAGTTCTGAAATATTTTCTTTTTCGAACTGGTTGCCACACTACTGGGAGATACCATGCCTGGGAAATTCAACTCCGTGTGCTAAGGGGAATTCATGGCAGACTGTCTGTCAAATTCTTCAGTACAGAGATGCTTAATGCTGAAGCTTAGATTTTTGCTGCCCTACAGCATTGCCTATCTCCTTCCTTTAGAGCAGCCAAGCATCCTCAGCCACTGCACCAAAGCTGAGTTCTGCAGCTAAACCTCCACTTCCTCTGACAGCAAAGGGTTCACGCCACCATGTCCTCCTCACAGCCTGCTGAAAAAAACACAGAGGCACAGGAGGAAGTGTGAAAATAGCATCTGTAGGCAGTGTTAATTGCTAAAGCAACTGAATTACCTGGAGCTGCTCCAGATAACAACCCTAGCAGTGTTATTTTCTGTGTTTTGCACCACTTCAGTATCTGAAAATTCTGTCTTCCTCTACAAAACATCCAATTTCTAAGCCACAACTTTTCTGCTCTGGTAGGCCTGGTCTGGAGCAAACTGTGAAAGATGATTACTAGCGAAACACAAAGGGCTTTTCACAGATTCTTGTAAACTTACTTTCTCGAGGTGCTGGGCCTTTGAACTGGCTTCTGATGGGTAACAGTGCCATGTTACCCACTAGCTTGGTATCTGAGTCCATTAAAGTTGAATGGTAAGCCTAGAGATGGGGGAAGGCTGGTTATTATTGCTGCAGAAAATTGCCCTTCCAGCATCCTGCTGGCACAGACTGATCGCAGCTCTCCCGTGTCATCAAATACAAATCAGAGTTTTGTTGGTTAGTGATGTTTCCAGCAACCTTTCCTTGCACAAACAGTAGTCATTTCTTAATGAGGCCCTCCGTAAGTCAGCACCATTCTGGTGATAACCACAAAAGCACCATCCTGGAACCATTCGTGTCAGCGGTGGTGGAAGAGGACGGGCTGAGAGGGCTCTGCTGCCCAGAGAGGAGAGGGATCAGGGCAGAGCTGAGCCAGAAGGGGAAAAAAAAGAGGAAGAAAGAGGAAGGCGGCAGCCTCTAAACACATCGATCCGCTCCTCAGTGCGACGCTCCCGCCTACAGCCCCTCTCCCACCCGCGCAGTCGCCCCAGCCCGGCCCCACAGCGCGGCCCCGGCGCTCAGCGCCCGCCCTGCCCCTTCCCTGCCCGCTCCCCTCACCGGCATGGCGAAGGGCAGGGCGCAGCTCCGTGCGAGGGCAGCGTCGCCGAGCTCGCAGCAAACCTTCCTCTCCCTTCAGGAAATGAGGCAGCGGGGCGGTGCTGCCTGCCTGTACCGCCCCGAGGAGCCGCTCCCTGACGGGGAAGCACAGAGCCGACCTCCCCCCATCCCCGCGTTGCGTCTGAGGGGAACCGTCAGCCCCTCTTGTGAGCCAGTGGGCAGTGGGCCCCTCGCTGCCTCGTCGCATGAGTCAGACCGAAAAACTGGGGAGATTTGGAGCTGAAGGGCTGGGTTTCTCCTTTCCGCGAGCAGAGGAAACCTCCGCTGTGAGGGCGGGCTGAGAGGTGGGGTGTTCAGCCTGGAGGAGAAGAAGGCTGCAAGGAGTCATTGCAGCGACACAAAGGGTGCTGCAGAACAGCTGGGAGGTGTTCTGTCGGCGGTTTTAAACCAACAAGGGTGGGTTTAAATGCGATATGAAGAAGAAATTCTTTGCCATGGGTGTGGAAAGGCACTGCTGGAGAGCTGTGGGTGCGCCATCCCTGGAGGTGCTCAAGGCAGCTCGGATGGGGCTGTGGGCAGCCTGATCTGATGGCTGGCAGTCCTGCCCATGCCAGTGGGGTTGAAACCTGGATGGTTTTGAAGGTCCCTTCCAACCCAAACCATTCTACAATTTGATGACATGTCCAAAGGATGCGCGAGGCTGGAATCAAGCCAGATCAAGCCCTGCCAGGATGTGATTAATTCAGCATAGGCATCGAACGATCTGCCACATAATGAGGTTATACTGTAACTATTAAGCATGGTCAGGATTTCTGGCTCCATGCATCAAAGTCTCCATGAGCTTTCCAACCTCTTTCTCGTTATGGCAATGACTACCCCGAGCTCTCACTAACTGTCCAGTGCTGGGATAGGTCTGGTACATCCTCAGGTTTAGATAAATGCACGGCCTCAAAGTATTCAATCACTGGTTTGGTTTACCAAGCTGTTCCTCCAAAATGACTTTAGATGCTCTTATTCTACTAAGGTATTTGGCTGACATTTTGTATGGGATAATTTCTAAAACATTAACTATATATTACATACAGAAAGATGACATGCCTATATAGGGACATTTACTGATACTAAGCTTTACATAACCGCGAGGCCCTTTATAGAAAATATTTTTATTCAATAACTCCATGAATAAAACCTCATTTCTTAGGATCAAGGAAAGATTTATAAATACGTGGGCATGACTAGCAGGAAAACATCCTCCAATTCAGCTGAAGGTAGCTAATAAATTAGACTAATAAATTTTAGAAGTAATAAAAAATATTTTGAAAACACTTGAGAATTCAGGAACATTCTGTATTTACAAAAGAACTATAAACAGTAATATAGATCACTATATTCCATCATATAAACTGTCATATAGCTCACTTTTCACTAGAAATGTTAGTTATCTTAAAGGCAAAACATCAAATAAATACGTTTGTGTGGAAGGGAATGTCTTTGTTTCCTTTAAAACACACAAGCAATGTATTTTCTTCCTCTTTTCCAACATTTACTTTTTACTCATTCACGTGATCTTGAAAATACTCATCCACAAGTGCAGATTTATCTTCTTCATGTTCCTGCCAACAAAAAAACAAAAAGCGTAAAACCTGACTTTTCTCCGGTGACTGTTGGACATCATCAGTTCTGTGATGCTTTATTTTAGTCATCACAACAATGTCCAACATTGTTCTACAAACCAAGGAGCAAAACTTTCTGAAAAGCAATTTGTTTCTAAAGCTATCCAAAATGTATACATCAAAATCTAGATGCATTTATTTTGAATATTTAGAGAGTATAAAATTGAATTTAAAAAAATGCGATAGAACTTGTGGACTTATTTCTTAGGATATATGAGCTCAATGATGAAAGTAAACAGAGCTTGGAATTGATTTTAACCCGTTGATCTTCCATCATGCATTTTACATGACAGATGTATAAAAGATTAGGCATGGTTTTACAGCACATGGACTCAATGCAGAAATTTTAGGGGAAGCTCAAGGAGACACGCAAGTAGAGATCATAGTGGTATATAATCATCTTTTCTGATCTTCAGAATTCAAAGGACATATTTCAGTTATCATTTGTATTATGGATCCTTTCTAATGCTTCATCTTATCTTCAGAAGTACCTTACCTTCGGTTCTTTAAACTCAAGATCTTCTCCATACTGGATGGTAGTGTCTATGTGCTGCAGAACTATGTTTATACTTTCCTCATCAGAGCGATCGAAAGGTAGAAATCGAACCATACCATAGTCATCAATCTGCAGCAGGGATTCAAAAGACATCAGTAGGGAAATACACTAAGTTTTCTTACTGCACCATTGCTGCAAGCTATGCTCAGCAATCTGGACAAGGAAAATCTAGGGCTGCTTAAAGCCACACTGCAAGCTAATGGCAATTCTCCACTCTGAATTCCTGGCTATCAGTCCAAACTTTTACCCAGTCAATAAAGCTGTCTCCCAAAATTGCTAATAGAATATGATTCCATTAATTTTACTGGCTACAGCATAGGAATCTTATGCTAACCTGAAACATCAAAAGCTGAGTTAGGACAGGCAAAAAGAAAAATGTTCAAGTGCCTGGTGATCTTTTAGATTCAGGCTTTGTTAATAAATCTGCAGGTAAACACATGGCCTTGGGCGGCAGGGGGAGAATGTTACAGTACATACAGTATCTAGCACAGCAGTGAAGTCAGTAACCACAAAGTATGGTTTACAAGTATGCAGCTGAATTAAAGAATACCAGTTAAAGAGCACGATACGTACCAATCCACATATGGACTTAGTCAGTTTTTTAAACATTTTGCTTTTCAATATATCAGTAGAATCTTCAATCATAGAATACATATCTGGATCTAAGTACCTGAGAGAAACAAAGCCATCATTAACAACGGAATACAGAACAAATGAGTCACTATGCTTTTACACAACTACCACAACCACCCATCATGCTGTGATTGTGAGTGAAGTTTATATCAAGATATTACACTACAGAGTAAGTAATGCTTTGGAACTTACTTTTCTATTTCCTTCTTAGCTTTCTTGCTCAGCAAATCCATTTTAGTCATGATGTTAATCTGTGGAATCTCTAACGAGATCATTGCACTGAGTGCTGCCAGAATTCCAGATATAAACTTAAGGAATATGAAAAATGTAGTTAAGTACAGAAAAGCACAAAATCTTCATGCAGGACACTACCACAGACCAAGCCTAACTTATGAATATATTGCATACGGGCATAAAGAATCATTATCTCTGCTGGAAAAGGGAGGTGCTAAGGTACCTGGCTGCAATCTATTGCCAGAGCTCTGAAGCACATTATATGCCACCAAAAAGGACATTAAGAAGACTGAAAGCCCTTCTCGGGATTCTTATTGCTCAACAGGGAAAGGGGTCATTCTCTGCCTGAGAAAGCTCTTATAGAACAACAGAACAATTTAGGTTGAAATGGACTTTAAGACATTGTCTGGTCTCTATAACTGAGGCAGCTGAAGACAGCAATCAGATCTTCCCCTGCTTTGCATTCCTTCCTTTGGACCAAACAAACCAAGTTCCCTTTCTTATTCTATACCAGCATGGACTTTTGTAAAACATTACAAGAATTTGTACAAGACTTCAAACGGATACCTTAAAAGATTCCACCATGAATTGCGAATCGACAAGAAACACTCCACAGACACGGAATTCCCACTGCTGAAGCTGTTCCACCAGCTGTTTCATCACTGGCAAATGTGTATAGAGTTCGATCTGACCTAAGACACACTTGGGATATCAGTATGCAGAAATGTAAAGCTAATAGAAACAGCTCACAGTTACTAGTTACGGAAATACTGGCATTACACTTAATATGAATAACAGCTAATAAAACACAAGTCTCTTTTCAAACAACCCTTCCTGTATTTGAATGGAATCATACAGTAAATCTGGAGAGGAAAAAAGAGCTGCATTTTCCTCTCCTGATCTCCAGTTAGCATTTGTTAGCAGTTGCCATAGACTTCACCCACTGTATGATGTTACCAAAAGTCAATGCTGTCACCCAAATTCAAATGGGGCCAAGTTCACTTCTGAAGCATCTAAAAGTGACTCTTGACAACCATTAACAAACCAAAAAATGTGTGAAAATGAGGCTGAGGGGAGACCTCACCACTCACTACAGGGACCTGAAAGGAGACTGCAGCAGGAGTTCTGCAGTGGTCCTGGCAGCATTGTGTGGTGTTGGACTTGACCAATTCGTGGCTCTTTTCCAACCTCTGCATACCAAGTATGACATCAAAACACACACATCTGTTTACCTGGGCAGTCAAACAGTATATAATCATCCTCCACGTGCCCGAGGCTCTCCTCCAGCCAGTTGAAGTTATTGGCAAAGTACTCCATGCAGAACACCAGGCCACCGTTGGGACCGAACCGCAGGGAATCATCTTCCATCACATCATCCACCTCTATGAGCTCCCGTATATCTGCAACGACAGTACGCTTACGGACGAGGGCAGCACAAGATAAGCTGCCATGATAAGCTCCTGTCCCCCCAGCTCTCTCCGGACGCCAGGTAGGCGCAGTGTGCACTCACCTGCCATGACGGGATAGCTGAAGAACTCGGCGGCCGGGTCCAGGTTAACCACCTGCACGGCGCGGCCCAGCGCCTCGCAGTGCTGCAGCATGGTGGAGCAGTACGTGCTCTGCAAGGCACGCGCACGCTGTCAGCGCCCGCTCGTCGCCATCCCTCCCACCCCCCCCGCCTCTCCGACCCTTCTCACCTTGCCGCTGCCCGCGGGGCCCATCACCAGCTGCGCGTAGCGCGGCATGCCGGCCTCCGCGCAACGCAAGACCGGCGGCGCTTGACCCCTCCGCCGCTCCGTAGCGTGAAGGTCCTGCGGGCTCCTCCCGGCTACGGAGCGGCCGAGGGCTCGAAGCGCTCAGCTCTCGCGAGATTTCGGTGGCGGCGCTGTGAGGGCGCGCGTGCTGCGCGGTGCGTGCAGCTGCAGCCGCCGCCTGAGGAGGAGCCGCGGCCTAAGGGGCCGCCCGGGTAACGCCACGGTGCTGCGGCCGCAGGGCTCCGCGCACCTCTCTGCCTCATTTCACCCCTCCCGCGCTCCTCATGGCACCCTTCCCCACCCCGCCTGCTGTCCCCCGGCCCCTCTGCACCCTCCCGGTCCCCGTCGGTGCCCAGCAGCCTGCCTACCCCTCGCTGCCCGGGGCCCATCGCCGCCTCTCGGGGGTTCCCTGCCCCTCTACGCCCCTCGGGCTCCCGGGTCCGTTCCCTCGGCTGTGTTGCGGCTCCTGCTGGCCCCGAGTCTTCACAGACACAGCCCTGGTGGTCCCGGGGCTCCCTGGTGCACTCAGCCCCACTGTTTTTGACAGGTTTTTTTTGTTTTTTTTTTAACTCCTTGACTACTTCTGCTCTTACAGTTACACCTCTTTTCTCTGGGCTTTGTAGTTTGGTCAGTCTTCTGGGAGTTTGTTATGTAGGGAATGATGTAAATAATACAAAACGTGAGCCCTGACTCTTTGATTTTGTAACCTGCAGGCTTGTGACATGGCCACAGATGTAGCTGAGCCTGTGGTCCCTGACTGTAGAGGAGACATAAGGAGTGGTGCCAGGTCAGATGCTGACTACCCCCTTCGGGTCCTCTACTGCGGAGGCAAGTGCTGAGGGGCAGACTGCCCACAGTTCTTACAGTGGGGTGTTAGTAAGGGCAGCCAGGCAGAAAAAGACGATTGGAGGTTTTCTTCTGGTCAGCTTTGAGTCAGATAGACCATGGTCAGGGTGACCTTTCTGATGGAGGTGCTGATGGCCTTCCGGATATGAAAGCTCTGTTAGAGGAGTGGTGCTCAGACATTTTGAGCAAAGATTTGTTCCCGCAGAAAGCTAGTAAAACCTTTAGTATAGAAAAGCCATCTGACTGTTGGTATGAGAACAAGGAATAAAGTTAAGGGAAGTAATTGATGCACTGTTTGGAATTATGCTTTACTCATATTTGTCATACGTCTGGATTTTTTGAAGGATATAATGTTGAGGTCTGTGCTTTAGATAAGTATATTATTTTGCATTGGGTTTGAATATTGTTGCAGGATTTATATTGTGAATGAGGCTGCATTGTTGGTTTGGGTGTGTTCTGTAGGATGAAGACTGCCCAAGAAGCTGCTGTTCTGATAGATTTATCTTAATGCACAGCATGAAAGCAAATGACTAAGAGAAAAATTACAATGGTATCATTGTCATCTTTTGAATCAGCATATGTTTATTACAAGATGTTGTGATGACAGAAAGCTTCAGAATAGCAGTTTAACTAGAACACTAAGGCTGTGCGTTGAGAACTCAATTGTAATTTCTTTTTTTTTTTCCCTCTTGCTCCAGTCTGTTCATTGCCAACAGAGGTGAGTTAGTTTTTTGTTGCTTCTTTCCAGTATGACTTCCACAATGATTCTTTCTGATTTTTTTCTTGCTTTCCGTTATGTCCATTCTGTGCTTTTATCTGCTGTCATCTTTAGGATGTCATGTGTCTTCCTGTGTGCTGGTGAAGCATTGGTATTTGGAGGGCTAAGGAGAAATGACCGAGCTAAATAAATAGCAAAAGGGTTTTGTTGTTTTTGTTTGTGATGTATCTTGTAATTACTTTGCCAACAGCATTTATGTGGCCTTTCTTCTCTAGTACTGTGAATACATGCCTGATGTGACTAAATGCAGACAATGGTTAGAGAAGAACTTTCCGGATGAGTTTGCAAAACTTACAGTAGGTGAGAATTTTCCTTTATTCCTGGTTAATATGTGTACTTGGACACACAAACAAATTCTTGAGCTTGCCCATTTCTCATCTCTTCCATCTGCATTGAGTCTGAAAATTAAATTATTTTCCCAAAAGTTCAGCCTGCTTTTGGATGCTGTGAAAACAAGTTTGATTACATCAGAAAAAAAAAAATCAGAAATGATGTTTGGTCCATACTGAGGTTTCTACAATGAGCACTGTGACAACATGCAGTTGCTTCCTGTCAAAGCTGATTTATCCAACTTTATGTCTTTGCAGTGCAGGCAGCGGGTTGCTGGGAGGCAGGTCATCAGTGCTATGGAACTTGATTTGAATTTCCAGTGCCAGTAATTTTTGTCTCTTTCTGAGACTACTGAAGGAGACTATTAAAGTTGTAACTGTATCTTTCATATGAAGGTCACAAGCCTAATTTGACCAATTTGACTTTAGGGAACACGCATCAGTCAGGGATGCTGCACTAGAGCAAGCTACTTAGGGGCCCAGTGAAATGTCAGTGTAGCTGATTTCTTGTTTCTTTAAGGGTGTGTGTTACACTGCTAATTTTGTTCTTTTGTTCTCTCACCATTCCTCTCTGATGTATTTAAGAAAATTCACCGAAACAGGAAGCTGGGGTTGGAGAAGGCCAAGGAACTGCAGGAGAAGAAGAAGAGAAGAAGAAGCAAAAGAGAGGCAAGGTCTAAATAGTTGCTTGTGGTATTGATTTATAAGCTCTTGGGGTCACCTTTTCCTGATCTATGGGCTTAGACTGTGGCACAGCTTCCTTGCATTTTGGTTGTTAGCTAAGCCAGTACCAAATAAATTCCTTTCAACTAGCAGCAGAGTTTGCATGGAGGCAGATGCTAACAAAGGAACTGTATAGTAGTAGCAGTAAGAGAAAGGTGAGCTGCTTCTACGTGCTCCTGTCATTGCTGTGGCACTTATTCAGAGAGTACTTATTCTCAACTTGCAATCCACTGGTGTACCTCCCAAAAGGTTTCTGCTTTGTTTAGCAGCAGTTCACAGGTTGCTTGCAGAGTAGAACAAAGAAGCTTTCCTCTCTTAATGCCTCAGACCACTACTTTTGCCTTTTTTTTCCTTCTGTCTCTCAGAATTCTCATAACAGAATTTGGTTTTACACTTCAGCTCTACTGCCTGTCTCCATTAACAGCTATATCTCTTCTGGCATAGATAGAGCTATGCACTATCTAAGAACAGATACTGTTTTATTGTTGGATTTCTCTGTTTAATTAACATAGTTTTCCCCCACAAATTAGAATACAGTGGTTATTAATACATATTTGCCTGTCTGATGTCAGTTGTGCCTGTAGTGCTTCATAAATGATGGTTTGTAGCCCACTGAGATTCATATTTTAAGCCACATGTCCCTGCAGATGTTTTATTTGTGTGCCTTGGGAACCAGTCATGTTTATCCTTGTCTGTGGGATATGTGTAGTGACAAAAGTAGCTTTAAATTCTCTAGCTTGGGTGCTTTTTTCCAGACACTTCAGAACATTTTCTTTAAATATAATGTCATGGTGTGGCATGCTGCTGATAGTTGTCAGCTTGGCTTTGGTCATAAAATAAGCGTTTAAAATATTTGTGGGTGAAAATGGAAATCCAGAAATGGAACCTCAAGTTTTGTGACAATTTAAAGTATAGTGTGAAGTATGATGGCACAATTCTGAAGAGAGGATGAAGAGAAAACAAACAAGCAGAAAATTACTGCAGGTATTGACTGAAGAAACTTTGAGAGAGAAATTTACTGTCTTAAGTTATTATTTGCCAATTTCTAGTAATGCAGAATTGAAAGTGCTGCATGTTAGGGGGGAAAAAAGCATTCACAAGAAGTGAGTCTGCTTGACATAGATTCTTTTAAGGTTTCTTGGTGAGAAAGCTCTGGAACAGGACTTTAGTTACCCTGGGGTAACTTGATGAGTGTGTACAAAGTTAGCCGAGATCATAATCTGATTTGAAGGACTCTAATGAGTGGGATTAATCTTCTGCATGCCTTACTCTGACTTATATCTACCTGATGTGTGAAGCATTCCCTCAAGTTGACCTAGAAACAGACAGTAAATAAGAAATGAAGTCATGTGCAAGTTTGGCAGTCAATTACTGTAGCTGCCTTCTGTTGGAGGTGTGGTGTTCTGAGGGGTTGGGTTTTTTCCTGCTAGCCTTTATATAGATTTGTTTTGTACTGCAATTCTGTGTTGATACTTAGAACTTCATGTGCTGTTTGACACAGCAGTCTAAGCAGGCAAGGTTTCTTAGCCTTAGTAAATAGACACAAGTAATTTTCTTTGCCTTACACAAAAGCCATAAAGATTTAAAAGTAACAGTTTGTTCCTAACTTAAGATGAGTACCAAAGAAAAATCCTTTAATGAGGGGTTAAATGTAGACCAAATGCAGTGGTTAGTGGAATGTGGGAAACACCCATCGAGGTTCTGATGTGCATTCTGAACTTTAATGCACATTTGACGTGCATATGTTGTTATTTCTTGTAACATTAACTTTGACCTGGGACCTTTCTTTTAAGAAATTAAACTAGAAGGTTCGGAATGGGAGATGACTAACATCCAAAATACTTTCTTGTTTACATACACAGACTGGGAGATAGGCTTCTTTGTTTACAGGACTGAAATGTAGCCTTACAGTCTTTAACTGTTATATCATTTAACTAATCATGTAATATATTCTGCTTTAAAGGTGGAAGAGGTCAGATAAAACAGAAAAAGAAGACTGTACCACAAAAAGTCACAATAGCTAAAATTCCTAGAGCAAAGAAAAAATATGTCACAAGAGTCTGTGGCCTTGCAACGTTTGGTGAGTTGACATTTGTTGGTGTGTTGTGTAGATTTTAGATGTGCTTGCCCTTAACCTCATCTTACCTACAGTCTTAGCTGCTTTAATGTGAGGAGAAAAGGTAACCTTTCAGATATTTCTTCTGATTGTATTACCTTGAGTGGTTTGCAGAATTTCAATGGAAATACTGAAGTCTGGACTTTAAACTACCACGGTTAAAACAGTTTTAATTGTGAGAAGATCTGCTGTCTGGACGATGACTGTTCTCCAACTGTCGGTTTTCCCACACACAGAAATCGATCTTAAGGAAGCACAAAGGTTTTTTGCTCAGAAATTTTCCTGCGGT